CCTCTGCCTGTGTCTCTGCGTCTTTCTCTCATTCTGTGTCTCTCATGAATAAATAAATAAAATCTTAAAAAAAAGAAGTTTCTGGCCCCTGTGATAAACATCCTGTTACAAATGGAACCTCAAAGACAGACATACACATTACTATACTAGTTGTTTTTCCTCCTGTTTCCTTGAGAATGCAGCTCCCTCCAACATCAAGCACTGAAGATCATTACATGAGGACGCAGGGCATCCTGTCCATAATAATGATGTCCATAATAAGAGGGCCAAGTGTAATCCCAAAAGTCCCTAGCTCTCTTTAGTTTACCTTTGAAGAATCTGTATTTTTGAATTCATATGAACACATTTAAGCACATTTCTTGGGTTAGACAGTTCCACATCTTAAGTATCTGAGATGTTTTCTGTATCAAAGCATTTGGGAGTTAGTAAACTAGTGTCTTTGCTCCTTCTCTAGATCCAATTCAATAAAGACCTGTCAAGATATTACCTTCTGTACTTCAATAATTATTAGAATGAGCCAGATGCCTTTACTTCTTCTGAAAGCAATTACCTGGACTATTAAAAAAATGACTTTCCAATGTCTATTCCCATTAGATCCTTTACAATCAATGTGTTAATATTTAAAGTTCTTCATTAGTACAAAGTCATCTAACTTTTCACACTCATGAATCTCTTCAAACATCTGCAGCTCAGGTTTAGCATGATGAACATTTTTTTTTGTCTTTGTCATTGATTTTGTCATTGCTGTTGTCAAAAGAAGGACCCTATTCTTTTGGAGATGCTTCCCTAGTTTGTCTTGTGTAAGGTCTTCTGAATCCTTCACCTCACTATCTCAGCTATGCCTTGAAAGTAATGTTATTTTTTCTGTTTTTGCACCATGGAATGAGAAAAGTTCAGGAAATTCCCTTGATTTACCTCTGAGCTACTTGAAACACATGGAAAGCCAACACTTAACATTCTGTATCTTCTTTAGTCCTTGGAAATGCTCAGCCATCTTTGCCAAAACCATGCTGTTCTATAAACTAATGAGGGCCAAATCCTTAGATGTTAGTGGAAAAGCCTCCGTCTCCCTCTATTGCTAGCCACATATGTGCAGAATCCAATTGGTAATAATCTTGAGGAGCTAGGTACATCTCCAGTTCTCTTCTAGCAAGCACCTTAGATTTTCAAAGTTAAAGAGGAATGCACTCATTTATCTGGCTATGCACAAATATTCAATGCTTGGCTTCCTAAAGAGTATTCATTTGTTTGGTCTTTGCACGGATATCAGCATAAAGATCTACTCCAAATTTTTGTACATTTGTTTTCTGTCTGTAGACAAAAAGGTATAAACCGTATGGACAAGGACTATATATCCTCATGCTGGTCTAGCACCTTACTAGTTCTTATTAGAACATTAATATTGAAGTGGGAAGATGAGAGATATTGGAATTGGTGAATGACTCCCCCAAGATTTGTCTCCGTATTCATCATGGTTCATGTTTTATGAGTGAAGAAAGAGAGTAAGATCAGAGTGGTTGTTAAGATGTGCAAATAAATATAATATGAATCACTGGAGGTAAAAGTTATAAATGCCACATTTTTGACCTCAATAATCTACCTTGGTGGGAGCTAAAATGGGGAGAATTTGCAGGACTGGATAATGTTTTAAGAAAGACTGACTGCTGGGGTGCCTGGGTGGCTCAGGCCACGATCAGGGTTGAGTCCCACATCGGGCTCTTTGCAGGGAGCCTGCTTTTCCCTCTGCCTGAGTCTCTGCCTCTCGTTCTGTGGGTCTCTCATGAAGAAATAAATAAAATCCTTAGGGGGAAAAAAAAAAAGAAAGATCGACTGCTATAATATATTCGAAAGCACAATGATGTGCCTAAGAATTAAATTAAATTAAGAATTTAGGCAAGGATTCCCAAGGATTAAATATGAGCAGCGCTGTTGTTAATTTAAAAATGATAGAAAGGTAAATTAAAAATTGAGGTAGGGTTCGTAAGGGTTCTTTGAAGTTGAAAAGATGTATTTTGGAAAAGAATGAGCCTAATTAATGTATAAGAAAATAAAGTGAAGAAACATACCAAACAAATACCTTCTTTGGGCTAGGTACTTTACATAGTCTTATTTAATTGTCAAAATAAGCCCAGAGGTAAGAAAAATTATTTCATTTTATCCCTGAAAAAGCTCAGAGTCAGGAAAGTAAAATAACCAGCCCAAAGGCACATAGCTCATGCTCTTTCATCCACTTCACATCATTTCTATGAATAACCAATCTGCTCAAATATTCATGGAAGTTGAACTTAATATTGGTATCTTTATAATGTGAATTAAGACTCAGTATTAACTCTGAATTTCAGCATTGGATCATTAGTCAACCATGAATCGGTCAACAATACTATTTGACTGTCTATGTCTTACATGGACAAATGATGGGGATATTGAAGATTCTGAAGGAAAATATCTTATTCCTGAGATAGCAGCATCTGAAAGAGAAGACAAAATGTGCATAAATCTATAGAAAAGTGTATACATCTACAGAAATAGGGATGCCCCCAGAATTGTTTTGTAAGCCAAAAATTAAAAGGAAGTGACTCGTGATAGATGTTGGAGAGACCTGAGTTAAGGTCTCTATAAGTCTAGATATGTTTATGTGTACAAGTCAAATTTTATAAAATTTAAATGTGACACAGGTATTCACTACGTGCCGGACATAACTGAGCATCATTAATCCTCGTATCAACCTTGTATTAGTTGGTAATAATGTTATCCTGATTTTACTAGTGACGAAACTAAAGCAGAAGAGTCAAGCATCTTGGCCAGGTTTCCAGAGCTGGTACGTGGCAGAGCTTGGATTTGAACTGAAGCAATACCAGAGCTGCTACGCTTACATTAACCGTATACGTTCAGTGCCAGTATGCCATGTAAGTGGGCATGGACGTCAAGATTATGATTCCCTAAGTCTTGACATGTACCTCGCCACTGTCCTTAGAGGAACACAGTCATTAATTTACTCACCAGATATTTACTGAATACCTACAATGTGGCATACGCTGCTCATGCTGGGGACAAGAGAGTGAACAGGACAGACTAGGACCCTGCTCTGTTACACCCACAGGTCTAGGCACCCCATACACGTTAACAATGCAGTACATGCATTTTAATTTCAAAAATAATGCATGTTTTCATTGGCTCGGATAAATCACCTCCATCGCTTTCCTTAATCCTAACGACCCTTAAAATCTACCCTTAAAATATTAAGACCATTTCAAAAATTCTATTAAGTAGGAAGGTTTGGGAGATGCCTGGGTACAACCAGAGGGGCAGTTTAAACACTCTCAAGCTCTTCATATGATTCTCTGAATGGGTTTTTAAATCATGTATCTTTGTAGTAGTTACATTTTCATAATATGGCAAGCCACTTTTGTCCATTAAGGAACGATTTCCTCCCACTGCCCCAAATTGCTTATTATACATGTTGTTCAGGGTCTTTTATCTAGCAAGTAGTTATCAAATGATGTTTAATAACATGTGGTGGATAAGGTATCCCTCATTAAGGACATTTCCCACTGCTATTACTTCCCCAACATACCAATCTTTTGCCAAATTTAAATGGCCTTATTAGCCTACCAATGCTGCTTTTTTCCTGATGCTAAAGATCCACCTCTAAAAATCATCAAGTACAACCCATCAAAATGAATGAATGTTCTGGAAGCCTGCTAAAGTAATCTACATGTTAACCAGAGGGGAAGGGCTCTGGGAATATTCTCATCCCCCTGTCTCTAGCATATGCTTCCTCACCTGTTCTTTCCGAGGGGAGGCTGTGAGCAGCGGCCGGCTCTGCTAAGGTCCTCCCCCACCTGCACCTCCACCTCCACCTCCACCGCCACCCCCAAGTTCGCTGGCTGAGCCTGCACCCACAAGGCATCCCCAAACTGGGTTCTTTACAGACCTGCAGCTGCACAGCCCCTTACAGAGCTATGCACACGCGTGCGTGCCCGTGTACGGGCGTGCTTCGTACGCGCGTGGCGTGAGCCCGCGCTGGTGTCCCTCCCCGTCCGCCCGAGCCGTGGAGAGTCCCCGCAGTCCCCGGAGCTCCGGGCAGAGCGGGATGAGGCGCCCTGCCCCCTCCCCTCGCCGGGCGGCAGGCGCCGCTGCGCCCCCGGCCCCTGCAGTGCCTCCTCCCGGGAGCAGCTAGAGAGGAGCTGGCAGAGGACGAGCGAGTGGGGAGCACGCGGAGGAGGAAGGGGCCGTTATGCCAGATGCTCCTGGCGCTGCTGAACTGTGACTGTGGCTCTGCGTTCAAGGCCCCGCGGGGCCGGCGGGGAGCAGAGAAAGTCGGAATGTGAAACGCCCTGCGCCGCTGTCAGGGCGCCTGGGAAGCGGCGCGGCGCGGCGCGGCGCGGCGGCTGCGCGGGGGTCGGGTCGGGGCGCGCGCCGGGGACACTCGCCAGGGCGCCCCGCGGGCGCTGCGCTCCCGAGACGCGGCCGCGCACCGGCTTCCCCGGCGTCGCGCGGGTTCCGGCCACGGCCCCGCTGCTGCCTCAGAAAGGAGTTTCTAGAAGCTCCGTCTCTGCTGCCTCCCCTCCCCTCCCCCCCCCCGGTTCCGCTTTTCCCCCCGCGAGCAGCGCCGGCAGCTCCACTGCGCCCGCCCGGCTTGTGCCGCCGCGTCCGCCGACGCCGCCTCCTCCGGGCCGGCCCGGGGGCTGCGCCCGCGCTGCTGCGGCGCCGACGCTCGCTGCTCGCTCCGCCGCCCGCGGGCGCTGCGGCCGCCGCCGGCCTCCGGGGGACTCCCCGCCCTCCCGCGCGACCCCGCGGCCGGGCGGGCGGCGCTTGCGGCGGGCGGCGGGCGGCGGGCGGGGGCGGGGAGGGGAGCGGGGGCTCGTCCGGGGGGACGGCCGCCTCCTCCGCAGCCTGCCGGCGCCTCGGCTCCCGGCGCTGCCTCCGCCTCTGCCCGCGGCCGCGCCTCGCCGTCCCGCCGCCCCCGGTGGCGGCCCCGCGGCCCCGGCAGGGGCCCCCCGCGGCGGCCCGCGGCGCTCGGCAGCAGCATGCTCTATTTCCAGATGGTGATCATGGCAGGGACGGTGATGCTGGCGTACTACTTCGAGTACACCGACACGTTCAGCGTGAACGTGCAGGGCTTCTTCTGCCACGACAGCGCCTACCGCAAGCCCTACCCGGGCCCGGAGGACCGCAGCGCCGTGCCCCCCGCGCTCCTCTACTCGCTGGCCGCCGGGGTCCCGGTGCTCGTGGTAAGCCGGGGGGGGGGGGGGGCTCGCGTCCGACGCCCTCCGGCCGGCCCTCGCCGCCAGGGGGCGGGGGGGGGCGCCGAGGTCGGGGCGGCGGAGTTCCTGGGCGAGCCGAGCGCAGCCCCCGCCCCGGGGGAGCGTGCGGCGGGCGGCCGGCGGCCCCGATCCCCGCGGAGGCGCAGGGGAGCCCGCGGGCGGGTCGGTGCCTCCGCGCCCAGCGACCTGGAGCTGGCCTCGGCCTCGGGGGCGGGGGCGGGGGGGGAGGGGGGCGCCGGCTCCCGGGGCACCACCGCCTTCCTTCCAGATGCAAGTGCCCGGGGGGCTAAGCTGACCAGGACCGGGCGCCTAAAGCGGACTCCGGGAACTGCAGGTGCAGAGGCTCCCGGCAGGGGCTGCTGGAAATTCCAGCAGGAGCCGGAGGACAAGATGCATTGAAAGGCGGCTCGGCCCTGGCTCTCGGGGCAGCTTAGGTGCTTTGCTCTGACGGCCTGGCTGCGAGGGCCTGGCGGATTTACGGCGTGTGTGTGTGTGTGTGTGTGTGTGTGTGTGTTTACGGACACACGCACACACACACGTAGGTCATTATTAGGATGGCGATCACATCGTAATCCACGTATGTGAACATGGTGCGAAGTTCCCGGTAGGGGACCTGGTGCTGGCTCTTCGGAGGACGGGATGGGTCCTGGCTAGGGTCCGAGCGTGCAGGTGTCCTCCCCGCGGTGCTGCCCGCGCTCTCCAGCTCTCAACACATGACAGGCAGTTAGGACACGAAGAGGAGAGGGAAAGGGAAGTTTGAGGTCCAGTGGTGGAACGTGTCAGTCTCAACGAATGAATGTTGGGAACATCACTCGGACCCACTGGGTGTGGACATTCATGTCTACTTTGGTTTTAGGGGAAAATGATTTCATGTTTTTTTTTTTTTTTTCCAGAAGATGAGAAGTTCCTAACACGCATAATGGAATTCCACCAAGGAACTTCTTGGTAACTTCAAAGTAACTTCGTTTGTCTCAGGCCCCCATGATAGTCGACTTTGAATTCAGCTTGGCTGTCCTGGTTGGACAAGTGTTAGACCCTGCGCCAGAAAATGCCTTGTTTTGTTTTGTTTTTTTGTTTTGATACTGTAATTTGCTAAAACTCCACCTTCATGTTTGTGTTCTCTCCCTTCCATTTGAAAAACTGAGAGAGGAGAGGAAATTTAGTCATTTTAGGGATTTCTTCTCTCTGCAGATGTTGGGTTTTCAGGCACATGTTTTCTGAATAGCCCAGGGATTTTTTCTGTGTGATTTATTTATTTATTTATTTATTTGTTTATTTATTTATTTATTTATGAAAAAGTCTGTCTCTTTCAGGTCACTGGTTTGGTTATGACCATAATCAATAAGGTCTGTAACTTGGCCCTTGGTAATTACCATTCCGTGTCTTACTTAGATGAGATCGCATTTCAGATCCTAACCATCCGTCCATGGTGGCAGGTGCCAGTTAGAGACGAGAACATATTGGGCTTAAGATGTTGGTTATTTCCCACTTATAGGGAAGCTAGGAGGAGAAAGGGAATGAAGTCATTATTGAGTGCATACTCTGTGCTGGGCACTGATAAGCCATAACTGCATTTATTCTTCAGAGCATTCCTCTTCAGATAACATTTAAGGACACTGAGGATCAGATAATAAAATGGAAACACTTGAAAATAAAAATGGTGGGTGTGGTGCTTGTACGCCCATGGGACTGATGCCAAATGCCATGCTACTTCTACTACTTCTAAAGAACATGTTCTATGAGAGGGGACGAGAGATGGCTAATGCGACAGGCATCTAGAGTAAAAATTGAGGGGTTTTCAAAGGGAGGATCTGACTTAATTTCCACGTTTTGACTTTTAGTTCTTAAGTTGCAAGAGAAAGAATTTAGGAGTCCCATCTGAAGAGAAGGACATGTAGGGTTTTAGAGGCTAGCTGAGCTGCTGGCCCTTGTTTCCTCTTCTGCTTCTCTGAATAGCATGCTCTCACAATGTGAGAGGTAGGGAACAGTAATGGCACCTCTGTCTTTCCCTTCCTCTCAAAAACACTGGCTTAGCACAGTCACTTTGCATGAAAACAATATTACTGATAATAATAACATTAGTTGTGCCCATCATTTGTTGAGTTATATACCTTATACTTGTCTAATATTTGCATTATCTATGAAAGCATTTGTTATTATTTTCACCTAATATTTGCAAAAACTGAGGCTTAGAAAGATAAGGTAACTTGCCCAAGTTATGACACAAAATGTTATACTCAGAATTTTAACCCTACTTGGTCAACCTCCAGAGCTGGAGCCTTTTCTGTTACAACACAAAATTCAGTTTACTCATAAGTTATTCTAAATAAATGCCTCAGACAGTCTCCCCCCCCCTTTTACATTTCTTGGACTGTACTGATAAATGTTCCTCGTATTGTATATTTTTTAACCTTAAAAGTCATTTTTAATTCTTTAGATTAATTTGAAAACTAGCTCTCCTCACTACCACAAGCTGTGGTTTTGTTTCATACTTGCTAAGTTCATTTATCTAAAAATCAAAAGCAATATATCTTTTCAGTTTTATCACTTTTATGTAGTGTTGATTTGGAGCCCAGGTTTGGAATCTAACAAATTTGGATTCAGATCCAAAGTACATCCTGCTGCTATGTTAACAGTTGGGAACTCTACTTGCTGTGTAACCTTGAACAACTTATTTAAGCTTGTTAAGCCTCAATTTCCTAAGTCACAGGATTTTGAATATTAAATTAGGTATAATACATAAATGTCATCCTTGGCCCATAGTGGATTCTCCATAAGAGGTAAGAGATCAGTAAATCATTAGCATGGTTAATGAAATGATAATTCAGTTAATGTTTATTGAATTCCTATGTTGCAAGCATGACATCAGACAGAGTAGACGTTATAAAGGAAACTTTAGAAATAAACCAAACTCCTAAGGAGTTTACAGCCTAATTTGGGAAATTAGGTAAATATGCCAAGGTCATAATAGAAATCACTGTAATAGAAGTGTGCGCACACACACATACACATACACACACCACGAAGACCTTTGGTGGGTTCAGAAGAGGACAAGCTTGTTTTTATCTAGAGGAAGGGCCTCATGAAGGAAATGGTGGCATTTGAGATGTGTCTTGCAGAAGAGGCTGGAATGGATTTGGCGTCAGGACATCACAGAAGCAGCTACACGCATAGCCACTTGGTAGCAGAAAACGTAGGCTGTACTCTTGAAACAGCAAGTGGTTTGTCTTGTTTCTAAGAGTGGTGTGTGGGGAACACTGAGGATATACGGCTGAAGGGGAAGACTAGCGTCTCATTGATGAGTCCTGGAATGCCTGGCTGAATATTTTTCTCAATTTGTTGGGAATTGACTAGGGACAGTCTAATGGGGGGTGTTTTAGGACATTTTGGGGACAGTAGTATAGGGCTCTCCTTTATTAAAATTCCAGTATAAGAATTTCAAACTTTAAATTTTATCCTCAAGTCTGTTTTGTGTTGTGAAGTATTAATTTAATTTATTTTCAGAAAATACCTGTAACTTGGGATCATTTACAAAGATGGCTTTTTTGTTGTTGTTGTTGAAAATCTTATTTATTTCTTTGAGATGGAGTGTGAGAGAAAGCATGAGTGGGGGAGGGGCAGAGGGAGAGAGAGAATCAGACTCCCTCCTGAGTGGGGAGCCCCAACAGTGGGGCTTGATCCCAGGATGCTGTGGTCATGGCCTGAGCCGGAGGCAGATGCTAATCCAGCTGAGCCACCCCGGTGCCCCAGAGACAACATGCTTTATAAGTTCTTTGAAAATGTCCTATTCACCTTGATCTGTGTAGCATTTGCTGAAGCACCACATACGTAATTTTATGGACATAAATTTAATTAGTGATCTTTGATTTTTCATTGATTAAAAGATTTGGGGATGACAATATTTTCTGCACCCCAACTTTGGATACAGTGGCCATGAGCAGCTCTTGTTCCTTAGATCATTAAGCAACAACACAGGTGATTTGAAGGACACCAGGGCTAGAACACTCATCTTCGTAGAGCCAGAACCAAGGCAGAAAAAAACCAGCAGTGAACCCATTTCATACTCATGATAATCCTATGAGGGATTATCTGCAGGGCAGATTTGAGTGTTAGGAAACATTTCTGATTCCTAATGTCTGCATCCTCAGGAAACTCCCTCTGGACTCTGAGACTGTGAGGGGTGCAGCTACTGCAGTTGTCCCAAGGGTGTTGAGTCACTAAATGTGACAGGTAGATAATGACAGAAAGACATCTTGTGTCCAGGCCCTCCAGCTTATTAGATCAAAGTGTCTGAAGCTTTCCCATGGACCTCTTCTTCTTTGAACCTCGCCTTGAGTGCTTGCTCCTATTTCAGCTCCTGGAACACATGCCTGTGGCATGGTGCTGAAGAAGCACGGATATGGGTGTCCGACAAGCCTGGATTCTTATCTGCATTTCTCTCACTCTACGTGTGACCTTGGGCAAAAATTTCTTATTCATAAACTGGAGATAAAAACGCCTACCTCTTGAGAGGTTAAGATCACAGACTCTGGAGTCAGACTGCTTGGGTTTGAAGCCCAGATCTGCCGTTTTCCCGCTGTGTGAACCTGAGCCAGTCTTTCTACACCTGTTTCTTCCACTGTAAAATGGAGATAATATGAGTATTGACCTCATAGGGTTATCATGAGTATGGAATGGGTTCACTTAGATATCAGAGGAGTGCCCAGCTAAATACATATTAGCTGTACCGTTAGTCCTCTCCAGGTTGTGATGATTAATCAAGATAATCTATTTAAGGCACCTAGCAAAATGTGTTTTGTCAGTGGATTCCAGAGCTGATAAAATACTAGAGGTGGAAAGAGGCCACCTGATTCAACCCACTCACCCACAAAAATTGGGGAGTCTGAACAGCAAGAGTAGCAAAACTCAGAACTCTGTTATTGGCACCAAGCCAATGATTCACCTTTGATGATCCTCTATTTTTTCAA